TTACTCACTTTTTCACGCCGGATGCTGCAGGAGCTGCGCCGTGTCCCACAGCCAGCAGCCTGAGTCTGGCCAGAAGCTACAGGAACAGGTTTTCCTCCAGGCTTCGGCTCTCTTAATTTGAATCTTAATTTGAACCTTAATTTGAACCTGCAGAAAGCCCAGGAAGTTTCAGGAGTAAAAGTCCATCATTCATAAAAAACCAAGCATTGCCGACCTCGTCGCCTGCCATCTTCCCTTTGGAGAGGGACCCATCCCACCCGTCTGCTGGTGATGGGGCTACAGCCCCGACCTCCCACCTCCCACCAGCTGCCGCAGAGCAGCAATCACTGCTCAAACTTACCTGCAGCTCAGCCCAGCAGGATGAGAGATTTCATATCCCAAGTCTTGGTCCTCCCCACCCAACCCTTTCATTCCTCTCATCCTTGAAGCCGTCCGAGGAACCTGTACTATAAGCACTGCAGGAAAATGTACCTTATTCTGGGAGTTTTACAGCATATTAGAGAAATAACATGAGTTCTTTTGGAAAATCAGCCTGTCACATAAATCACTGATTTTTCTACAGGGAACATAGTGAGGAAGTCATCTGCTAAAAATGACTGCAATCTTATGTGCAAAATCCTTGCAGGAACATTCTCTGATCTGCCAATGGAAACCCTGTGTTTGCCTTTGTGTCTGCTCTTAAATTAAATTAATAGCCTCTTCTAATTGGTGTGCAGCTCTATGGCTCCAGTCAGTCTCTTGGAGGGAGCTTCCCGTCCTGTTCTTTGAGGATATATTTTGGGTGATTGAGCTTTTGTGAAAGATTTATAATGACATTCAAATATCACTAGGGTTGTTTTTTTCTTCTACAAAAGCCCCCCTTTACATTCATGCAGTTTAATAAAATTAATGCTCAGAAAAATCACTTATTTGCAGAACTGATTTTATTTTTTTGTTCAGAGAGAAATTAATGCTTTATTCCTATGGGAAAACTCATTAGTAACATGTAAATATTTCCTACTGGTATCACTCTCCAGTGCAGGGGGTACATCTGGACTTCTCTTAATGGCAAACATGTACATAAGACAAATACCTCCTGGGGTCCCCAGCTTGCACGCACTCAGTTGGTCTTAATTCAGAAGGTCACCAACCAAACCCGCCAGTGGCACCAAGCCTGAGGAGAGAAAGTGAAGAGTGGAGACGGTTCGATGTCGGAGCTTGCCTGCCCTGCCGGGGTGACGCCTGCCACCCCAGGGAGCCTGTGCCGGTGCCCGGCTGCAGGGAGGCACGTGTGGCACCGCTGCCTGCGCCTCCCGGTCTCACCACAGGTAGCCTTCAGGGCTTCCTTTCGTTTCTTGTAAAGGAGGGAGGAAGGCAAGAGGCTGCTTAGGGCATTACCTCTTTGGGTGTATGGATGGAGGAGAAGGCAAAACCGTTTCCTTGGTTAGCATCACTTAAGAGACCTTTGGTCTGCCCAGGGGCAAGGGAAGGAGTTGCCCAGCCTGGGACATGCTGTACGAGGCTGTATGAAGCGTCATCAGGTCTGAAAGGCGTAAAATCCCCACGTTGAGAGACAGGTCTTGTTTATGCTACCTATCCCCAGGCAGCTTTATATTCTAGTAAAACTCACGTTTAGCTAAATATTAGTGGTAATCATGCCAATAACACACTGAGATACAAACCTGGGGTTTTGTTGTGGGAACAAAATCATGTGCCCCCAAAAATCCCATACTGTCACCTCTCGTTTCCTTCAACACATGAACAGCCACCAGCAACCATGTGTAAGAGCAATAAGCAAAGGCGTAGCCTATCAAGAAAGTAATGTCCCAAAATTGAACACTGACTCCCAATTGAACAGTGGCTCCTAACATGCCATCTCTGTGCTGCCCTCCAGGGCTACGGGGCAACGTTTTACCCTGTTGGGGAGCGCTACGAGGGTGAGTGGAGCGATGGGCTGCGGAGCGGCTGGGGACGGATGTACTACCGGGACGGCTCCATCTACGAGGGGCAGTGGCTGGAGGACCAGCCCGACGGGCAGGGAATGCTGCGGCTCTGTAAGTACCAGCCACCCTTGCCCAGTGTGTCTGCCTGCCCCTTTCAAGCTATTTGGTGTCGTGCTGCTCTCCAGGTGCCTCTGCTGTCCGGATTTCTGGATGCTGCATCGCATCTTGCACTGCAGCCTTGTGTCAGGGTTGTGGCTGCTCCCCTGTGCCGTCCCTCCCCTCCTGGTTTGGGGCTGCAGGAGGTGGCTTAGGCTGTGCAAGGGCCGGTGTTGCACTGGTCAAGGCCACACGCATGAAAGCTTATTTTTGCTGCGATTTACATTTAAATGTCTGGAATGGTTAGGGTTAGAGATAATATACTGTTGGGTCAGAGAAGAGCCAATCTCTCTTTTCAAGGCAGGAACTTTGCCAGACATACTTTCTAACTGCTGCGTAGCGAAGAGGAGTCCAGTTTCCAGCACAGAAAAAAAAAAAGTGAGAAGTTTTCTTTTTGATTCACTCCGTGCTCTCTCTTACTTCTGAGACTGACTCACGTTGAGTGATCACAGGGGTTTCATTAGTACACAATCCCTTCCCAGAAATAAAACCAAGCACATCACGGCTTGGGAATGTTGGGGGCAATCTCAGCATAAAAATAGAAATTTTGAATTTTTTTTCCTTTATTTTGCTTGGGGTTTAACAAATTTTTTCCCAAAGCCAACAATCTCAGTCCTCTGGAATACAAGGCACTGCATTCCAGGCACATTTGAAGAAATATTATCTCCATATTATTATTAATCTATTCTATTTTTTTGCTTGAAAGTGATCTCAAGGCTAGTAATTAGCTAAGCAAAGCAGCTAGGAGGAACGAGCATGACCTTCGCTGCACATCACATGCACGACTGCACTCTCTCTGCTGACTGTAAAGTCACTTTGGACCGATGGCTCATCCAGATGAAATCAGCACCCACTTCCAGTGGCAACTCCTTCCACTGATCTGCTTTGCTCCTATCAAAGTCACCCTCAGCGTTATAAACTGACAGCCTCTCTGGGCTGAGCCGCGGCTGATGCACCATTTCAGAGCCCGGTTGCCTCCAGTGTAGCCTGCAAGCAATTGTCAGCTGGATTCCTTTTGGTTAAAATTAGCCAGAGCAATTATTTCAAACCCACAATCTTAATGTATTCAGCTCAGCTGCTGGAAGTGTGCCCATGTGCCGGCAGCTTTGCGATGGTGAAAGAAAAGTTCTTCTTCTTCAGCAGAGGTCACGATGAGCTGCAGCTCAAGATTAAATTGCTTGTAGTGGCAGCGTGCCCGGCGAGGACAAGCTTGGCTGGCAGCACCGCAATGATTTGCCGCTCGTTGCTGAAGAGCTTTTAAACCAGAGCATTGCACGTCCGCAGAGGAGATCCCAGCTGTGAGCAATGCAGCCTCCGAGATGCTCCAGGAGGACAGTGGATGGGAGCAGCCGGGCACCGCGGTGCAGCCAGGGTGTTCGATGCCCCTTCCATCACAGCCAGGTCTGTGATTTTGGTGGTTTCTGAGTTGTCAGTGGATGGAGAACAGAAGCCAAGCTGCTCCCACCAGCGGGCAGGGCAGGTTGGTCTTGAAGACAAGCACACCACCAGATGCAAGCTGAAGATAACCACTGCCACAGCTCCAACCTGTAAACCAGACCATGTCTGAATAGCCCGGCAGCCACACTCCCTGGAAGCATTTTGTTTTTTTCCTTTTTGCCTTTACGGCATTCTAGCAACCCCCAGTGACCTCTGCGGCACCATGCGGGGTGCCCTGCTATTTCAGCCACCTCTTGCCACAAAGAATAACAGTGTTCAGCTGAGACCCAAAGATATTTCCACTAAGTAACTTGGTCAGAAATCCCTGATTTTTGGCTTAGAAACGCTATGTCTGGGAAAAGGGGACAGCAGAGGACTCTCCTAGTGAGAGCAGGGTGGCCTACATGTATCCCAGCCCCAACATCACCGTGGGTATGATGCCCCTTCTCAACCAGCGTCCCCGGAGGAGGCTGCTCTCTTCTCTGCTCTGCCTTCGCTGTTGGCGATGGATGGATTCCTGGAGAGCAGCACAGAGCCCAAAAAACCCTCTCTCAACTTGCAGAAAAACACCAAGAGATGCAGTACAGCTGGAAAAACAGTCTGTAACTGATTGCCTAAACAGTTCAGACACTCACATAAATTCTGGTCCTGTAATTCATTGAGGAAAAACATAACTACAAGTATTATTTGAAATCAAGACTATTTTGACTGGACACGGGTCAGACAGTGCTGCTGTTCCTTGCCCAGACAAGCAAAGCTCTTCAAGCCAGGGATCCTGCGTGATTTGTTGCAGTGACAAATCTGAAACTTGTGTCCTATAATTTTTCATGTTGTGAAGAGTGACTTGCTCCACATTGCATTTCTTGTTCCAAGTGGGCAAGCATGGGCTTCCTCTGCAGCCTTTTCTCCCTCTGTGGCACAGCAAACGGAGCACCGGGAAAGCAAAATGACACGCTGTGCCGCAGCCCTCTCGAAATTACCAAGAGGAACCAACCAGATGACTTCCTCTTCTGTCGGTTTGCTGTGTTGATTGTTTTCGTTTCCAGCCCCTTAATGAAATGGTACAAATTTAATGGTCTGTTCATGTATTTAATTGCAGCAAATGAAAATCGGTATGAAGGAGGTTGGAAAGATGGAAAGAAGCATGGCCCAGGGAAATTTTTCTACTTGGATAAGGGACAGCTGTTTGAAGGTATCTGGGCAGCAGATATACCAAAATGCGGAATTCTCATTGACTTTGGCAGAGATGAAGCTCCTGCCCCTACTCAGTATCCAATCCCAAAGGTAATTGCTTGGAAATTCCATTTTTGCTACTGATGTTTGCATTCATCAGCACTCGGGCCGCTCTCCAGGTAGCATTTCACTCTTCAAGCGATTACCCCCACGGGCTCCAGGTTCACGGGGTGTGTGCTCAAGTCTTTTGGCCAGCAGTGTTCTAAAGAGCCCCGTAGGGACAAATGACCCATCCAGCACCGAGTGACCTGTGCGAGGCCCCCACTGGAGCCTCCCAATCGCCTGCACATCTGAAAAAGTGAGGTTCTCATGCACCAAAACTGCTTGGAGACCTGAAGCAGCACAAAGGAAACGGGGACAATAGAGGCAGAGACAATAGTGGGATTTGCGTCAAAACCAAATTATTTCACCAAGTTAAATTGCTCAAGCTGACTAGACCTTACCGAAACTCAAGCTGCTGCAGCACTAGTAGCAGCGATTTCGTTTACCCAGACATCCCGAGTCAGGGGCTCATCCATGTCCAGCAGCCCCATGGGTCGAAAGGTGCGTGTCGCTTCCCACCTCGCCCCAAGGGGGGCAGGCGGGTGTCTGAGCGCCGACATCCTCTGCTCCCCTTTTCCCTTAAGACTGACACAGGCTGCGGAGGAAGGGCCAGTCCCCATCCCCCTCCCAAAGACTCGGCAAGAGGCACTATGTGGCACATGGACATCCCAGGCCGTTGGCCCGGCAGCTGCTGGGTCCTTGCACATCACTTTGGTGCGGGAGCCAGAGGACAGGAGAGCCTGTCCCCCACTCTGGGCCCTCGGAGGAGGACAGGGCACGGGGATCCATAGGGAAGAGACGTGGTTCCAAGTGACACAGCTGGCCAAAAGTGAAACCCCGTGGTCCAAGTGCTGCACACATGAAATACAAAGGCATCGCATTTCCAAGGTTACTGCAGGATACAGGTGGGGAAGCTCCTCTCTGCTTAGAGCCGAGCAGAACCGCGCTGGATAACCACAGCTTTATTCCAACACCACAGGGAACAGCACGGCCCCGTGGCAGGTAAAGCTACTTACCTTCCTCCTCTGCTCCAGGAACAAAGTCGTTGCAAATGACACGGGGCATGCGCAGTCTACCAAAGCTCACAGCTGTTCCATCTTTGCTTCCCGTCTTTTTTCAAATCTGGTTTCTTATAGCAAGGGCCCTTTGAGCACAGGCATTTTTGACAAGCCAGTTAATCCTCTAAGTATTAGGCACACCCACGGCAGTGCAGAATAATAAACACCAAATACTCACCAGGGAAAAGCAATCTCAATTTTGCG